TGTGTGACACCTGATAGAATATTATAAAGTGCACTCCGGTGACCATCCGACGTGATTTTTTTTTTTCTTTTTACTTTGCATTTCAGAGGACACATCTAAAAAATGTGATTTCTCGCGGAGATTTGCGTTTTGCCCACTTGTGGGAAAATGCCATGAAACACACACACAGACACACATACACGTACGTACGAACATTCTTCAAAATACGAACTGTTTAAGTTCAAGCACAAACACACACGTTATTGTCCTTGTCCATTGTAAATCTTGTTGTTTAATACATATACTCGTTTGTACATATATGTATGCACACACACATGCACATATATATATATATGTAAAAGGAAACATTGAAGTCAACACTCAGAGGTGACAGGCTGTTTTCATGCTTGCCTGACGATTGCGTCCAGCATGAAACAGCCTGTCGCCTCTGAGTGTTGACTTCAGTGTTCACTTTTATATTTATTTATAATTATTTCTGAAAAAAGATTGGGGCCAATCTGAAATTTTCAACTTTTTTATATATATATATATTTATATATATATATATATATATATATATATATATATATATATATATATATATATATATATATATATATATCGGTTTCGTTTGTTTTCTTTACATTTTTTGGCTGGACTCAACTTGAGTCCGTCATAAAAGTAATCAAATTTATTTCTCTTCAGAAGTAGAAAGGTTGGTTGATAAGTCATGTATTGCACTGCTTTTTCATCAAGATTTATACCGAATAAAATAATAAATAATCATCTAAATGACGTAAAAGTATTTCTCTTCAAAATTACGACTATTTTCTTCATAAGAATAATGATATATGCGTTCGAATATCCCATTATTAACTAAAACTTCGACGTTTAATTATCGGATAAACAGTTTTAATTGCGAGTAAATATTAGTGTTATTTACACTACGTTGTTAAGTCGGTTGGTTGTTTTTTTTAGTGGCATATCAACACCCCTATTGGTTATTTAATGTTGAAATCTAAATATTTTGAATGCAATTTTATGATTGCAACTAAATATATTTTGAACGCAATTGAAGACATTGAACGAAAGAAGACTGATTTTAATAACGTAACAAAAGAAAATGCCTGAAGAAGGCCGAAGAATATATAGGTGAAACATTGCAGAATTTAATTTTTTTAATCATTTTATCCCAAGCAAGGCGGAATATCACCAATATGCAGGGGTTTACACTAAATGAACATGTGAGAAAAGGTTGTGTAAAGAGGCGATTGAGGAAAGGATAAAAGCTGAACGGGATTCAAAAAAGATAGAAGATGACGATTGACGTTGCATTTAAATTTTTGGAGATTGTAGTTATCAGGGAAAGTAGGTAATGAAAGGCGGGAATTGTGAAAAAGAAATTGTTGGAGTAAAAGCGACAGTTACTTTTAACTATTTCAACAATAAAATGGTGGGACCTAGCTGCCAATCTAGTAACACGCTTAAATTCATGTATTGTTGGTCATTTTGCTATAAAACGTATTACTGGTCGTTTTACTATAAATATGTATTGTTGGTATTTTTATATGTAAAAATGTATTTTTATACTGTCATGGTGTTTTGTTACGGTTTGGGGGGGGGCACTATTTGCCCATAGTTGGGATCCTAACTGGTGCTACCACCACGGGTCAGACTGAACCTGGAAGCAACTGCAATTAAGAGGTGGTTCTACACGCCTCAAAACCTGCAGTCTTGTGATCAAAAGCCTGGTTGACAGACGTTGTTTATCGTCATCCCGTAGACTGTACAATGTTCGGACTACTGCCCTCATCTTCATTGTCATATTTACGACGTTTCGGCCGTCTTCAGGATCTGTTTATATTTCTGAGATGAGGTAATGTAACGGTTTATACTATTTACATTGGTCGGACTGTTGCCCTCATCTTTATTGTCATATTCACAACGTTTTGGCCGTTGTACACTCCGACCTTCTTCAGGTGATATTAGTTGGAATTTCGAACAGAAACCTTTATTTATTCCACGTGAATAGATTATTTTAATTCCATGTGCCATGCATTTTTTTTTTTTTGAATATCCCAGTTTTAGTTAATTCCCCTTGATAACGCAACTCTCTATTTTTTTTTTGTTTTTTTCTGTTGTGGCTATGTTTTGAACTTATAACACTTTGGGTCAAGTCGCCTTTGGATCATTCATATATATATATATATATATATATATATATATATATATATATATATATATATATAAAATAAATAAAACAAGCCACTTTAAGGTTCCATGTAATAAATTATTTCACCACAGCCCTTTTAAGGACTGCGGATCATCAGACTTTACTTCCAAATGTTGAAACGAAAAATGAAAAGAAATTTACACATTTTTGACGGGCCGTATTAAGCATATGTAAATTAAAATGTGTAAACTTTTTCATTTTTCGTTTCAACCTTTAGAAGTAAAGTCTGATAATCCGCAGTTCTTTTAAAAGGGCTGTGGTGAAATAATTTATTACATGGAACCTTAAAGTGGTTTGTTTTTTATTTAAACTATTTGCTCTGGATTTACATTGGGCTCTCTGGATTTTATCCTCCTTAGGTTTACCCATACGGATTATCTAGTTTTTTTATAAACTATATATATATATAATAAAATGATAGTTTGCGATCTACTTTCTTTGGAGAACGATCGTCAAGTTTTAAATGAAACTCAATTCACTTTCTGCATAGTTGAGGGAAATTTCGATAGGAAGAGAGAGCAAACGGAGCTTGGATTTTCTTTTTATTTCAAGTTTTCTGCGACCAGTAATTGACAATCATTGTTGTTTAGTTCGTCTACGGTGGAGTAATGGATAGCGGCTCGGATTGATGACTCGGAGAGCAGAGTTCGAATTCCAGTCGATTCACTTACGTGCTAATATTCTTGGGAAAAGGTATGAATCCTCTTCTTCTCCCCTCGGCTATGGGTAAATAGCAGCACAAACCAGGTTCTATAGCCTTAGATGGCAACTGATCTACCGCAGAAAGAAATGGCAACCTATCGTCAGTCAGGATTGCCAAACCGTGTATTACGCATGGCACATAACTGACTGAGCATTCAGGGTTTTTTTTTGTCATTATGTTCCATTTATTCACCGATAAAACTCTTTATTACGAATAGCATACGTAAGATCAAAAATGGCTCGGTGTTGGGATCAGGTTCAGAACAACTTGTCTAATGGTCTACGTCGAGACACAAGTCCTCACTCGACAATGAAGAAGCAGTGTCAGATGCAGAGCTTCGTCCGGGAACAAACATACGTTCGTTCTGATTAACTTACTTTAAAAATTACCCACTTGCCTTCTCTCCATCCTGTGAGTATCACATTTTCCAAGCCCTCTTTACTTTTTTGTTCAACCTCAAGGACATATCACCCAGTGGTTAAAGACGTTGGTTGAAGTAATCCACTGACTTGATCCAAAGAGTTGCAAGTTCAATACCTGGCCACAGCAGAAATTAACAAAAATTTCAAGAGTTGAGTTACTAAAAGGAACTAACTGAATCTGGGATATCCAGAAAAGGCATGGCACGTGGAACTAGAACTATCTATCCCAGAAGACTAAATAAAGGGTTCGGTTCGTAATTCCAATGTACAATGTCTCACCAGAAGAAGGCCGGAGCGTACATCGGCCGAAATTTCGTTAATATAACAGTGAAGATGATGAAAACGATTCTAACAGTGTGAATGGATACAATACCTCATCTGAATATTTTTCGATAAGAATTAGACAAATTGCTGAGAACATTGCAACTGATTTTAAATTCTAATCCGAGATTTCCAATTACGGGTGACCGCCTGAAACAAAATCGTAATTCGTTTAATGTAATAAAAGACTTTAAACCCTTTGGCGGCAGATAATTTATTGAAATATTCAAGCAATTTGAATTTAAATGAGGTACGTTTTAAAGAGAAATGAGCTGCGGCCAATAACCAGTCAATTTTTTCTTCCACGTGCGACTTCAGGACGTTGGCGATCATGGCTCTCCATAATTTCCTCTCCTTTGCAGCTCTTAATAAATTTTGTCTTTCTATTATCTCTCTTAGACCTTCTTCTGCTATCCACTGGCTGAAGCTCGCTAGGAAGGCGATGAATTGTTTTCATTCGTTTTACTTACCTTCATTCTCTCCCGTGAGTATCAGATTTTCCAAGCCCTCTTTCTTCATTATGTACCCTTGAAGTATCAACTGTTGCTTTCCCATTGTAAGGTATGGCAGAGATTATCAGTAATGTCCATCATGAAATAAATTGGAAAATGTCTTTATCCACCACTGGACGTAAAAATGGCTGATAACACATATAGATATTTATTGCTTGAATTGAAACAACTGCTGCACAAGACCAATGATTACTTTATAAGCTTTGATTATATGTGGCACAAGGCCGAATGTATGGGGCATCTAGTGAGGATCAAACTAGCTTTTCAGTCGTAATTGATCTACCAAACTGAATTCCTCAGAATGACCGAGGAAAAATTCTACAGGCGTTTTCGAGAGTGCAGTAAACGTTCATACTTCTATATTTTCAGGATATGTGCGATCGTGGCTTCCCAAGTTTGCCTGTCTTTTGCAGCTTTCAAGGAGTTTTTTCTATTTGTTATCTCTTCTAAAACATATATATATATATATATATATATATATATATATATATATATATATATATATATATATATATATATTGTATGTATATTTGCTCAAGCACGCTTGGTAAGTTATGTGATGTTTTCCTTTGTCGCTCTTTTGCCTTCAATCTACTCTGTGAGCATTCGGGATACAGTGACTGCCAATATATAAGTAAACATTGAGATCAACACCCAGCGGTGACAGTCTGTTTCATGCTTAAACGCAATCGTCAGGCCATGCTTTTAAGCATCTAACAGACTGTCACTTCTGTGTGTTGACCTCAATGTCGACTTTTATACTTACATATTATCTATTTTATCTGTCTGTATATCTGGAATGAAGTATTATGATTATTTACATTATTTATAATGTTTCGGCCGTTGTACGCTCCGCCTTTCTTCACAAAAGTCTCCTGAGCCGACCAAGCATAGATATGAATACAGAATGGAAACTAGCAATAAGAAGTGCTAGAGAAAAGCAATGAATAACAACACAAAAATTACTGTATGTCTCAAGGACATATGGCATAGTGGATAAAGGCGTTGGTTAGATCCAGTGACAGGACCCAAAGAGTGTGAGTTCAATACCCGGTTAAGGCAGTGGAGAACTTTCAGAGGGGAAATTAACAGGAGATAACTGATAACTGACATCCATTAAACATGGCACGTGGAACTAGAACAATCTACCCCAGTGAGCGAAATAAAGGTTTCAGTTCGACATTCCAACAACCTGAAGAAGGCCGGAGCGTACAACGTGGCCTGATGATTGCGTCTAGCATGAAACAAACTGTCGCCTCCAAGTGTTGACTTCTATGTTCACTTTTATATATATATATATATATATATATATATTGTGTGTGTGTATTTACGCAGCAATTTTTCATTGATGCATGTTTCATTAAATAATATACACAAGTTTAGTCTATTTATTTTATGTAAATTCTTTTCATATGGTCTGATAAGCTTAATAGCATTATCATTAAAAGAAGAAAGAAAATCACAATATAGTTTTATTTTGTATTTTATTTATTTATTTATTTTGCCTATGAGACGCTTGAAAGGAAAATAGACAAAATAAACTCCACAAATATTCTTAAATGCCTATTAGTGATAACAAAAGCCATTGGTTTATACAAAGGCTTCCCATACTTAATACTTCTCGTTTTCACTCTCGCGTGGTAATGTGTGATGTCAGGAGCTGCGGTGCGATTTTCGTTCCAGCGTAATTGTCATCTTTGATAATGGCTTATGTAAGCCGAAAGCTTAGGTAGGATTAAAAAATATGTATCAATATTGTGATTTTCTTTCTTCTTTTAATGTTAATGTTATTAAGCTTATCAGACGATATGAAAAGAATTTACATAAAATAAATAGACAACACTTGTCTATATTATTTAATGAAACATGCATCAATATATATATATATATATATATATATATATATATGAATCTGATATAAAAAAAAAAATGATAAAGAAAATGACGTGGACAACATAAAGAGTATTATTTAATCTGTATAACAATTTAGAAAAGTTTATTTTAATGATTATCTTATTTACTGTCTTTATTTATTTTTTTTAAATTACCATATATAGGCAATGTTTCTCTCGACTTTTTTATTTAATGTGCTTACATTTAAAAAGTATATAAAACAAATAAAAAATATAATTTTTGCTTCTAAAATAAATTTTTCATAGAATTTTCTCAGTTTCAGATCATGCAATGTTAGTTACGATCTTATTTCCTGTGGCTTTCGTAATAACCAGTATTGTCGTCTGATACTTCGCATTACCTCATACTGTTAAAAAAAATCTGTCTATATTTCTGAGATGAGGTATTATGTACATTATTTACATTATTCGGACTATTGACCTCATCTTTATCGACATATTTATTACAACGTTTCGGCCCTTCAATATCTGTCTATATTTCTCAGATGAGGTATTATGTACAGTATTTACATTATTCGGACTATTGTCCTCATCTTTGTCGACATATTTATTACAGCGTTTCGGCCGTTGTACGCCCGGCCTTCTTCAGGTGGTTGGAACGTCAAACTGAACCGTTTATTTCGCTCACTGTGACAGACTGCTCTAGTTCCATGTGCCATGTTTGATGAATGTCAGTTATCTCCTGTTAATTCCCCTCCCCAAGTTCTCCACTGCCTTAGAGAAATTATGAGATGACGACAATAGTCCGAATAATGTACATAATGGTAAAAAAATGTCAAAATTATCTGTTAAATTTGGATTGTATTAAAACTGTAACAATTATTAAAACAACTGAAAAATAAATTTGCCCCATGAATTTCCATTATTATTATAGATACTATTTTCAATTGTTCAAATGTTTCTCTCGTGGTCAGTACTATGTTTCTATTGTCGAGGAAGTTTAGGTGAACTCAGCATAAAGATTTTGGAAAATAGTTCGCTTGCTGTAAATGTTGTTTATACGGGCATTTTAAAGAAGTAAGACAAGTTCTATGACAACTTACATTTCTCCGTTCGCAGTACGGGTATTTTGCTAGTAGGAAAAATACGAATAAAAAGAAAACTTCAGAAAAGAATGTGATCTTATCATCTGAGCGTCCCTTGATGCTAGGCTTTATTCAGAAATTGTGATTTGACAAGCCTCAAATCAAACAGTCAAAAGTGACGTCAGACGGGGGAGCAAACCGGCCGAGCCCGTTTTACGATGCTCGCTGCCAGGAGAGGACTAGACAGAGAGGCGAAATTTCTCAGAGGATGTCATTAAAAAGATATGAAGTACGGCATAAAATTGCTAGTCCAAGAATATAACGCTTATGCTTCGCGCTCGTAGAAGTGATAGTCAAAAACATTTGAAAAGGCTAGCAAGAATATCCATACGGTATAAATGGTTATGCTACGCTAATCATTTTCCTGTTTTTTTTGGGTTTTTTTAGCGTGAGGCAATGTGCTTGTGTACATATGCATACATAGATTAAACACTTATGTAGATGACGAATGAGTAGTGAGGTAGGTCCTCATGGGTGCCTCATGCAAATATTCATCAATAAATAACCCGGGTTGATATTTCGTAAACTCAGCCAACCGATCTGGTCTTTCTCTTTCTATCTCGTTCTTTGTTTCTTTCTATCTTAGTACGTTCATGTGTATCTACCAGTTCCCATCTATCTATCTATCTATCTATCTATCTATCTATCTATCTATCTATCCGTTAGTCCGTATATATATATATATATATATATATATATATATATATATATATATATATATATATATATGTCTGGGAATAGGGTAAATATTTATTTCTACTGCGGAGTAGTACGCTCGAACCTCACTGTTTGCCCCATACAAAATTCAATATCAAATCGCAGATGAATATATACATACCTGCAGACAGATAGATAGATAGATAGATAGATAGATAGATAGATAGATAGAAACAGACTGCAGAGATAGATAGGTTGATCAAAACAGACTGAATAGATAGATAGATAGATAGATAGATAGATAGATAGATAGATAGATAGATAGATCGAAACAGACTGCAGAGATAGATAGGTTGATCAAAACAGACTGAATAGATAGATAGATAGATAGATAGATAGATCGAAACAGACTGCAGAGATAGATAGGTTGATCAAAACAGACTGAATAGATAGATAGATAGATAGATAGATAGATAGATAGATAACAGAGAGAGGTTGACGCACATGAATGCACACACGCAAATATAACGTTTATCGATTGAAGATGGAAAACACGATCTTCCGTGAAAGTTACAAACTGTGTCAGCGCTATTAATAGGAAAGAATCTAGAACAATGATATATGAAACCTGAGACGGCTGATGGATAAAGAATAAATTTCAAATCGGGTTGGCGAGGACTTGTTTATAAACAAATGCAAAAGGACAGGAGGCGATGTTTAATTTGGGTCATTAAAAAAAAAAATAGACGAAAATAATATTTTTGATAAAAACATATTGAAGTAAATTAGACCGGGGAGGTAAGATCAGTGTATGTTTACCGCTAGCGAAATCTGATCTAAACATAAGTTGTACCCGCTGAATTTGGTCATCGAAAAGACAATTGAAATGAACATTGAACTAATTAATTTTATCCACTAAGAGATTTGAAATAGATCTGAATTTAAACTTTGCTTATGGCGACACTCGTGTTAAGCGCGTGAACAACCTGGCTTATAACCCTCGGTTTGCTATATAAACGCGAGTTTTGCTGAGTCGGGGAGACTTGGGCGTTAGACGAGAGTGACGTTGAGAGAGAGAGAGAGAGAGAGAGAGAGAGACTGTCGTTGCAATGAGTCGGTCCAGTGGTGAGTCAGAGATAAGGACTTCAAGGAATATCCTCATCGTTGTAGCAGTCGCATAGAAAAGTCGCTGAAACTTAACGTTTGTCACTTACGACAACCAACTGAAAAGCTACACTTCCACGTAGGGCTGAATTTACGAGTCACATATCCTCCCAAGTTGATTTAGAACGAGTTAATCCCACACACACACCTCTCTCTGTTGGTATAATTGGTAGAGGAGTGGTCCTCTGTTCTTATGTTAATTGCTTTTCTATCCTTTCTGTAAACTCTTTCTACTGTTGTTGTTTTCTTATATAAAAGACATCAATATTTTACCCATTGTTGTTCGGCTTCTGCAGATATTATTTCCTTGTTTGCCACATTCTAATTTTCATGCCGCCCACCCTCACATCCGTGCCTACATCCCCAATCGACCGTGGACGTATGGACAACACCCCGCTTACTGGAACTAAAAACTAACACAACGTGGGCAGCAGGCGGAACTTGGCCAGTGACCGGTCGAACAATCTACGGGTACTCAGGGAGCGTGTGGCCAGCTACCCCTGAGTTCGGTTCAGACCGAGTGGGCGCCTCAAACCAAAGAGGAAGACGCCGGAGGTTGAAGGGCTGCAGGAACAAGTGGTATAGATAGATAGATAGATAGATAGATAGATAGATAGATAGATAGAAAAACTGCAGAGTTAGATAGGTAGACCAAAACAGACTGAATATATATATATATATATATAGAGAGAGAGAGAGAGAAGAGAGAGAGAGAGAGAGAGCTAGATAGATAGATAGATAGATAGATCGAAACAGACTGAATAGATAGATAGGTAGATCAAAACAGACTGAATATATATATATATATATATATATATATATATATATATATATATATACATATATAGATAGATAGATAGATAGATAGATAGATAGATAGATAGATAGATAGATAGATAGAAAAACTGCAGAGTTAGATAGGTAGATCAAAACAGACTGAATATAGATAGATAGATAGATAGATAGATAGATAGATAGATAGATAATTGAAAAGCCATACCCGCGCGACATTGATTCGATTCACTCTAAGGAGCAGCAGATAAATTGTATGAATAATAAATCCAAACTAAAGTCACAAGGCTTCCGGTTGTTATTGTCGTTTTCGAAATGAAATAATTCTTATCGTTTTAACGTTGCTCTTACAAGTGGCATCGAGATAAAAAAAAAAAAAAGAATTATGATTGGCAATTTACCTTGTAATCAACGCCAAGATCTTAAGACATTGCGCCCAAAACTACAGAACGTTTGACAGAGTTTTCGACTGAGAAAAAAGAATAAGGAGGAAGACGTACAGACAGCAAGGTAGGTAATGAATTTAGGGGAAAAAAAAGAAAAGAAGAAATTTGAAAGTGAAAAAAGGAGGGAAGAAGAAAAAGAATAAAAAAGTAAGACTGGATGATGAAGAGACGAGAAAAGCGGGAGAGATGAAGCTGAAATTTGAAAAAGAAGAAGAAGAAGAAGGAGGAGGAGGAGAAGAAGAGTAGAAGTAGTAGTAGTAGTAGTAGTAGCAACTGGGAGTTGAAAATGAAAAAGAAAAAGAGGAGGAGGGGAAGCGGTGATTTGAAAATGAAGAAGAGAATGGGGGGCGGTGATATAAAAATGAAGAAGAAGAAGAAGAAATGGCGTAGGATTAACGGGAAGAAGAAGAAGAAGAAGAAGAAGAAGAAGAAGAAGAAGAAGAATGGAGATAATTAAAAAAATAAAAATGAAAAATAGGCAGAGTTGGATTTATTAAAAACACTTCTGCCTTTCATCTATCTATCTGTCTATCTAATAATGCCCTTATCTCTCTCTCGCTCTCTCTCTCTCTCTCTCTCTGCTTCTATCTATCTATCTATCTATTTTCATATTTATTTGTTTTTTCGTTAGCTATCTAATATTGATTTCTGAGTCCACATTTTCTCTAGCTCAAAATTTTCTTGAATACAATATCCGTAAATATAACATATTGAAAACAATTCGTATCTATCTGTCGCTCTCTCCTCCCTACCTCCGTATATATATATATATATATATATATATATATATATATATATATATATATATATATATATATAATAAAAAAGGCTTAAACACTAATATTCCATGGTCATAATTTATTCCATTGGAATCGTAAATACGATCCTATTCATCAGACCTACAAATTCGAAAAGAAAACAGAAAAAACAACTCCGGGAATAAAAAATAAAATTTAGTGAGAGTGTATGTATGAGAGTGTGGGACGAATATTAGAGTAAATGAAAGCTACAGGGAGGGGTAACAGACGAGAGAAGAACAGGAAGGTCTAAAGATGAAGGGGGGAATTAAAATTTAACAGAGAGAAGTTTTAAAGAAGGGAGTCAAAGACGATTTCAGTGAGAGAAATATGAATGTTCTCGGATGTCTAATACGTTAAAGATTTACCGGAAAAGAGTATGCATTTTGTGGTGACATACACACACAATAGACGATATAATCTTAAAGATTAGAAGATGAGAGAGGGAGAGGAAAAGAAAAGAAAAAGGAGTGGGGGGAGAGATGCGGTAGGGGGACTAATATATATATATATATATATATATATACCTAAGTATATAATTGGTATATATGGGATGAATTCCAATAACCAACAATTACTATTCTTAAAAGAGTGCTCAATACAAAGTAGAGCAGATATAATTATTATTTATAAAAAATTATAACATAAGTATGTTATAAAATCACTACAAAAATAGCCATGGATATACTTGGATAATGAAGTCATGTACCTATATTCACTGTGATTAAAGGATTGCATATGCCCCCGCCAGCGTTCCTTGAATGTTTTCATGGTGCTACCAATGTAAAACTTCTTTATATTTGAATTTTCAATTGTTGAAATAGTACTAAGATAGACTACAGAAGTAATCCCACAGTTATTTTGTAATGGACAATTATTCGGATTCCTACAATTACATAAGTTGTTATTTGTATTCTTATATTTAGTATTGCAGTTAGTAACCTTTTGATTAGTCAAGCCTTTTGAATTCCTATACCTGTTAAAGACTATGTTATGTTTTTTAATTATCTTCTCCAGGTTATCAGCACTTCATTATCCAAGTATTTTTGGAAGACACCGAGTGTGTTGAAACAAAATGGCTATTTTTGTAGTGATTTTATAACATACTTATGTTATAATTTTTTATAAATAATAATTATATATATATATATATATATATATATATATATATATATATAGGAGAGATAGATATATAGATAATATATGTATACCCTCCGACCCTTAAGCCCGTTGCGTTCCTCTTAAAAGCCGTCGTAATACAAAATGATGAGACAACAATATTATCAATTTTATTATTAATTACACATATTTATTTTTTACTCGCAATACAAGTTAGTGCAACAATTATTACTACTCGTGCTATACAATATTACTTAAATTAAATGCAGTCATAAATAAATGAATGAATGGAAAGCTTTTCAGAATTTGGGAAAATTAATCGCTGCTTTACACTAATTTCTTAATGAAATCCAGTTGGAAATTCAGTTATAGATGTTAAGCTATCAAAGAACGAACAGTAAATTAACAATATCAGAATGTCATAGGCCTATCATTATTCGAGGAATATAACCTAAGTTTAATTTGAAAAATCCCCTTTATGCAAACATTGTCCTGCAGGAAAAAGTTACTTTTTTTTAGAATGAATTTCCAAACTGATATCCCATTAAAGGCCTTTCCATTCAAGTAATAGGATCCGTAAATTGACAATTTATACCAATTTTAGTGAAGACCATTAAAAAAATGCAAACAGCAATCATTTACTAAGATTTACATTTATGGATGCCTCCTTTTTGTGCACCTAGTTTTCATTTTATCTGGGTATTTTTTTTTCAAAATAATAATTATATTTTTTTATTATCCTTACTTGTATCCTCCTAACATTACTTCAAAATACGTAACCGTGGTAAACCACATACATCTATTTATTTACTATCAAGTCATATGACAAATTTCCAACCATCCAGAATACGTTTTACAATGACTCACACATATATCGTCTTCAGCTATCAAGTACTTGCCAAACATATTTAGAGCTACAATGGATAGGGAGAAGTGGAGAGCCATGATCGCCTATATCCTGAATAGACACAGCACATAAAAATAAAGAAATATAGTATAGTGAATTGTATAAATTTATGTTGAGTTAAGCATATTTAAATTTATTTGATAATGTTTTTATAATGTCCTATGAATGTTTATTTATTTATTTATTTTTTGTATAGATAATATTTGGAATATAATATGCAAGTGTTTATATATGCAGATTGATATGTATGTGGAAAACAATTACTGAATTTCCTATTGAACATACAATAGAAACAGAAAAAAACGAACCCTAGCTAAAGAACCGCTTGTCTAATTTAATGAAATTTAGTACATTAGTATTAATTGTAGTAGTAGGAGTAAATGCAGTAGTATTAATAATAGTAGTACTTATTGTATTAGTAATAATATTAGTAGTAGTATTTTCAGTAGTAGTTGTCATAATTGTATTAGTAATAATTGTAGTAGTTCTAGTAGCAATAAATGGAGTAGTAGGAATAATTGTAGTATTAGTAGTAATAATAGTAGTAGTAGTAGTAATAGCTCTAGTATTGTGTTGTAATAATATTAATTGTAGCAGCATTAGCAATTGTACTAGTTGCAGCAGTAGTAGTTGTGGTATTTATAGTAGTAATAATTGTGGTAGTACTAGTAGTAATAATTGTATTAGTAGCATAGTTTGTAGTAGTAGTTGTAATAATTGTATTAGTAATAAATGTAGTAGTAGTAATAGATTTAGCAGTATTATTATTAGTAGTAGTAGGTGTCGTAATAATTGTTGTAATGGTATTAATTGTAAGATATCTAGCAATTGTAGCATTAGTAGTAGCAGTGGTAATTGCTGTAGTTGCAGTAGTAATAATTGTAGTTGTGGCAATAGATTTAGTAGTATTAATAATAATAGTAGTAGTAGTAGGTGTCGTAATAATTGTTGTAATGGTAATGTAGGAGATTTATCAATTGTAGCAATAGTAGTAGCAATAGTAATTGTTGTAGTTGTAGTAGTAATAATTGTAGTAGTAGTAATAGTTTTAGTAATATTACTACTAATAATAGTAGTAATAGGTGACGTAATAATTGTTGTAATGGTATTAATTGTAGGAGATTTAGCAATTGTAGCAGTAATAGTAGCAATAGTAATTGTTGTAGTTGTAGTAGTAATAACTGTAGTAGTGGTATTATAATATGTAGTATTAGTTGTAACTACTAACGTAGTCACGGGTCCGTATATTGTATTAGTAGTAATTGTAGTAGTTGTATTAGGGGTAATACTTGTAGTAGTGTTAGTAGTCGTAGCTGTAGTAGTAAAAGTCGTAGTAGCATTAATTGTAGTAATAATAGACATAGATCAAAAACACAGACGATGGATGTTGCCTTGTAGCAAAATGCATCTTTATTTCCAACAAGCGTCTATTCACATCTGAGATGGCTAAGAAATCATTTGTGTATTATATTCTCAATCTTCCTTTAGTTTTTCTTTTTTTAAATAATCATTTTTTTCAAGTAGCATCCCCTTTAAAAAAAAAAAACAAAAAAAACTCTTTCTTTTTTCCTTTTTCTACTTGAGCGTGAAATGCGTTCCCGAGACGTACAAGAAGAAATCCGTATATTCGTAATAAAGGCACGTCGGCGAAGACGACATGACGACTACTTTGAAGTTATCCCTCGGGTAGCCATTATTTTCTGCCGAAGTCTTCATGTCCGAATCGGCAAACATTCCCTCCCGACTGGAATTGATTTTACGTTCGACAGCCTTGCGGTTATTCTATTCCCATGTTTTCCCAACTCCGAACGGCCTGTGCCATTTCCAATTGTTTGTCTGTATCCCTATTCGTGGAATCACATCTATCTATTTGCTGATTGGTATCAATCTTTTCTCAACTATTTATTTTTCTTTCCATTTCCGTGGGTTTCAGATGATTTCGTGTATCAG